GAAGTGAGCTCGGAAGCCCCTGCTCTGTCTGGAAGGGCCGGATTGAAATCGCAGAAAGAGGCTGTTTCCCGAAGAGGTGATGGGGTTAGCCAGCAGCTGTCTTCCACACACACGGGCAAGGCGGGTAGTTGTGGCACTTAAACCATCGTATGCCTACAAAGAAAGACAACAGGGAAAATAGTGATTCAGAGAACTTCAGATTTACATCTAGGAGGCCCATATTCCATGGGCTATCGACACATGGGCTAGTGGAAAACAACACATTCACTAGATCTTTAGGTCACCATTACATCCCTGGATATTTTTATTTATTTATTTATTTACTTATTTATTTAAGATTTTATTTATGTATTTTTTGAGAGAGAGAGCATGCGTGCGCATACACATGTGCATGCGCACATGAGCAGGGAGGTGGGGCAGAGGGAGAGAATCTTCAAGCAGACTCCTCACTGAGCACAGAGCCCAACTTAGGGCTCAATCTCACCACCCTGAGATCACCCCCTGAGCCAAAGCCAAGAGTCGGACGCTTAACTGACTGAGCCACCCCGGCGCAACATCCCTGGATATTTTTATAAATGCCCTCACTTTCACAGCCCTCCTTCCTCCCCTGACCCCACTGCCTCATATCAAGGGCCATTCCCCACAACATGAAATGTTTGACACAAAAATGAATATAGGAACCAATAGATGAGAAATAAGGAGGAGTAACCATTTGTTTTCAGAAACCCAACATTTGCTGGAACTTACTGCTTTTCACAGGGTAGAAGGAATGGCAGAATTCTTTCAAATGATAGAGTGATGTGAGCCTAACTTAGAAAATTATCTAATTAATAAAAAAAAAAGTATTAGGCTCTATGTCTGCCCAGTGCAATGTTGGGACTTAAGCTGACCCTCCATAGGTACTAATGGAATAGAGTTGACATTACATGTACCCAAATCACTGTCCTGGTTTGTGAAATTGAAGCTTGATTTCCTCAGAGCTCAGTGGTCTGCTGTGAAGTTTTTGACACTCTTATGTGTAAATGGGGGGAGTGAGTTCCTTTTCTTTGGACCATAACAATAATGTCAACCATTCATTAAGTGCTTACTACCTGCCGGAAACTGATTCAGCCCTTCATATACACTATCCCATTGTCTTCTCCCCAAATGCCTTCCATTTTTAAGAAGACAATTGCTACATATAAAGAGCAAATTATGTGGCCGACTTACACAATTCTTAAGAGGGAGGAGGTCATGTTGAATCAGACAGCTAGATCCTAAAGTCCAGAACTGAAACTCTCATATCGTCTAATGCAAGGTATCAATTAAGCAAGATAGATGCATCAACTGGTAACCAGCAGAGTGGGATTAAAATACAAAGTTAGAATATGGCTGTTTCACTCAAGATAAATTGTCATTTATATTTCATAAGAAAGTCTTGGGAAAAAACAGAAAGTTCAGGGATTTGATACAAGGAAGTCTCACACAAATTACTTTAAAATATCTAGGGATGATTAAAATCAGTGTTCTCTTTAGCACATAAGTATGATTGGGAGGCAATGCTCAGTGTAGTTCATGTAAGCACATGAACGAAACATCAATAAGATGTTTAACTGTCTACTGAGGAACTAAAACTTTCACAATAATGAATTTTAAATAAATGTGGTTCTGAAACATCACTTCTCTTATTTTCTTTTTCTTTGTTTTATTTTATGTTCAAACTTTAAACCGATAAATAAAACTTTAAAATTGATTTTTATTCAAATTCAAAAACTGATTCAAAACTCTGGGGCACCTAGGTGGCTCAGCGGGTTAAGTGTCTGACTTTTGATCTCAGCTCAGGTCTTGACCTCAGGGTTGTGAGTCCAAGCCCCACACTGGTGGCTGGGTGTGGAGCCTACTTAAAAAAAAATTGATTTAAAACTCAATTACATTTTCATAACCAAGTCAAATTACAGTTTCCAATCTGGTATGACTACTTCTTTTGAACATGTTGAACACCATCAATAGTACTCAAAACAACATATAAGTCATCCTTACAAAACCTCTCACTACATTTATACTTTAACCTACTTCAAATGTTAACATTTGGTTTAATACAAGAATTTATTATTTCTATACTTGGCTTTATACTTTCCTAAGGTTATACAGATATAACATCCTAAGATTTCAGTAATGTTATATTAATACTGTCTTGCTTTAAAGAATACCTTCTAGAATGCCTTAGAAGTCTGGAGAATATACCAATTCACTCTTGGTCAGGACTACCTGCATAAATCTTTTTGCTTCTCTCTAGTAATTTGTTTAGCACAGCATGTCTTATACTTAGTGGAATACTGGGGTTCTGTGAGGTTTATAGACTCCCCCACCAAAACAAACAAACAAACAAAAAAAAAACACCGCCAACAGAAACAACACACACTCTGAAGATTTTTACAAGTCCATATACTCACAAAAGCAAGACTCTTCTAGTCTCCTTTCTTTCTCCCCAAATTCAGAGGCCTAGTGAGTAAGTAGGTATCGTTCCTCCCTTTTTTAAATGGCTGTAATCCTCTTAAGGCAAAACAGGTAAAAATGTAAGGCTAGAAGGTTCAGAGAGTCATATGAATGAGCCATTTCCCTGGGGATTACATCTTCCAGGGGGTCTCCGTGTTTCCCAACTTCCCCGCCACCCCCCAACCCCAACCTTGGAATCAAAGGGCCTTGGCTTCACTTCATATGCCTGGGGCTTTGCTTTGCAGGAAACGGATCTGAGGCAGAAGGTTTCCAAATGTCCCTGAATCAAATTATATACCAGTGACACCCTACATTTGATTAGCATGTTGTAATTTTATAAGCACCATCACAAACATCCTAATCTCGTCCTCAACACCATGTGATTTTTTTTAATGAAGAAAGTGAGACTTAACAAGTATGCTAGCTATTAAAGTGTTGCCTCATCCGATATAAGCTAGTAACTCATCCAAGATCATACAGATAGTGAGGAGTAGAGTCAGGAACTTATTTCTTCTCTCCCCAAATTCTATGTTATATTGCATCACTTCTCTTTAAAATGCTCACGATAGTTATTAAGTTACATATACCAAATCATCACTTTATGAAAGTGTTAAGACCTCAGATTTTCAAAGAAACAATTGATTTTTTGAAAAGTTTAGAATAGCAATTCTTTTATTTGAGACTATTCCTAACACTTGTAATATCAAATAAATTTAAGTTTTAATTAATAAAATTATAAGAAAAAACTGCAAGGGAAAAAATATGAGAAATCTTGCTCCCATATATTTAAAATCCTAAAGTCATGAAAATTATCAATATGCAATTATTCCCATTTAGTTCCCAAGGCAGAACTCGCAAATTATATTACTACTGGCTACACATATAACATAGTCACATAATTTATAGATATATAATTCTTATTGAAGTCTACTGCCAAAAGTTTTCTAGGCCTAAGAATTGGTTTTCTGATCTGTTGTTCCAGTGATAAAAGTCAAAGAAATACACAAAACAAAACCCAAAAACCTGTACATTTCTATTAACTCTTCTCTAGATGACAATAGTAAAATTTTGAAGTTGAATCCACAAAAGGAAAAGTGGCCACCATCCCTGAAAGTTCCAACTACAGGGGCTCTAAAAACAAAGGCATATCTGGTTAAGTGGTAATTCCTACAAGAAGTTAATCAGTGTCTTTACAAAGTATTCAGAGTTTTGTCAAATTTCCAGATACCAACACATACATTCAAAATACCTAATCTTGGGGCACCTGGGTGGCATGGTCAGTTAAGTGACCAACTCTTGGTTTTGGCTCAGTCTTGATCTCAGGGTCATTATAAGAAATGTGTTGGGCTCTGTGCTCAGTGGGGAGTCTGCCTGAATATTCTCTCCCTCTGCCCACGCCCCTCTTCCCTCTCTCTAAAATAAATAAATAAATCTTTTTTAAAAAGATACCTAAACATATTTATCACATGAGAATAGGAGACTTGTTAAAAGAGTAGAATCTGTCACATAACAGAAAATAAATGTTTGATGTACGGATGAGTCAATGAGTTCCATATATAAGAGTATATGGGCCTCTAAGAACTGAGGACTAAGAATGAGGGAAAGCCCAGAGTTAAGAACTAACTCTCCTCTTTCTCATGGATCGGAATGTAGAAATGCATAGCAGGCATGACAGTGGGTAAAAGAGGCTATTCACAGTGGGAAAGAGGTCAACTGGGGCTGCTTTCTGGGCAGGCTTTTTACATTCTGGGCCCCAATGGCAGTGGAGTAGGGTCTGATCACAGGGCACAGGCCACACCACACACACACAGCTCCTGGTGCCCTTCTTACTGGCTGTGCCAACCTGTTGCCAACACAGCCAGAGAACACAGAAGACAGAAGGTGAGCCGAGGACATCAGACCTGTCCCCAAAGCCCAGAGTATTCAGGACACAGGACATTATGGCGCTATGGGAACCCTCCATACTCTAAGCTCTACCCAGAAGTTAGAACTGAGCCAAACATTTATGAATTTTAATAGTTGATGCTTTAATATCTTAAGGAGATTTGAGGAATATCAACCCTGTTTTGAAGGCAACATGTGTCAACTCCAGCATTAGGTGACACTGGGGTGGGGAGCCATTCAGGTGTGAGACTAGCATCCCTTTATGATGCCACATATAGAAGCCTGGGGTCAGAGTCCTAAGCACTGGTAATCTGAGAAAATAAAGGGAACTTTTGCCTCCCAGATACTTACTGATGATAGAAATATGTGTGACTGACACGAGGAGATAACTCATATTGCTCATCAGAATTAAATGAGTGCAAAGATACAAAGTACTTACAATGCTTCCTGGCACATAGTAAGTACTCGAGAGATATTAGTCTCTATTATGAAAGTGAGACAAAGAGAAAGCTAAATTGCTGTTTAAGAAATGAATAAAAGTAGGAAGCTATGGAAGCAAAAATGAAAAGAGGTCTGAGGGTGGGGGGTTGTCCAGTAATATGAATGAGGTTGGAGCCCGGGCAGGGCACATAACCCATGGATATTACCTAACAGGGACTGCGGGGGTGGGAAGTGGGGGCATCTTCTGATCTGGCTCCAAGTGATTCATGCCCTTGTGTAATCTCCTCCCTTTCCCCGAATGTGGGCTAGACCCACTGACTTGCTTCTAATAAACAGATAGGGTCCAAGTGATGGGATGTCACTTCCATGATTAGGTTACAAAACATGGACTCTTCCATCTTGTCAGCTCTCTCTCTTGCTGGCCCTCTCTGAAGCAAGCTCCTATGCTGTAAGACACCCAGCAGAGAGGCCTGCCTGGCGAGGAGCTGAGGCAGGCCTCCAGCCCACTGTCTGCCATGAGCCAAATCCACTGAATCCTGCCAACAACCCTGTGAGTGAGCTAGGAAAGAGCCAGGTAAGCAGCACTGGCATTCCTAACCCACAGAAAGTATCAATGCTGTTGTTTTAAGGCGTTAGGTTTTGGGGAAATTTGTTATTCAGTGATAGATAACTAATGCAGGAGGTGTGAAATGAGGAGTGAGGAAGGAATGAACAGTGGAGCCTTAAGGATAAGGATGTCTAATATCACATTAGAACTTCGTTGCTGTCCTGCTCTTTGCAGTAATCACCTGCCAGTCTCGAACTATTTAGTCAAAGTCTACTACACAAAAGAACCTCAAGTTTGTGGTATTTTGGAGAAATAAAGAAAAAAATTATAAATTCCAACGTTCTTTTACAAGGGAGGGTGAGAAGGCAAAAGGCCATAAAAAGAAAGAGAGGGCTTGGAAAGTGAACAGTGGCAAGAAATGGCCATCAGGGTGACCTCCTCCCTTCTCTATGCAGAAATTCCGGAAAATATTATGGAGAATGATGGGTTTCCTAGACCCCCGAGTCTCCTTTTCCACACTTAGAGTGATCAACCACTGAAAACTCTACTGAAAGGAGTAAAAATTACTCATGAACTTAGTGACATGCAGGTCACTGGAGGTCTAATGAGTTGTCAGGGCGTGATGATGGGCAGACACTAACTGAGCGCACAGAGCTGTGTGTGCAAGAGGGAGAAATGAAGACAGCGTGACACCTTCACTTCCTTATTAATAGTTGGTTCTCCCAGGGATGGAGGGAGGAGTCACTGAAGTAACATGTGCTGCCTGGCACATGAGAAACACTCAGGGAATCCAGTTGCCCTTTGGGGGAATCCCACCATTTTCTTTCTTTGTTTCTGCCTTTGTTCTTTGGAAAGTAAGGCTATCACAAATTATTCAAGAATTTATAGGATCCATTAACGTATCAGTTGAGTATCCAGCCTAGTTCAGGAAAGGCAGTAATTTTAAATCTATGTTCCTCCCCAAGGTCCCCAGGTCATGATTTCAGGGTCATGGGGTTGAGCCCTGCATGGGGCTCTGTGCTCAGTGGAGAGGCTGCTTGGGACTCTCTCTCCTTCTCCCTCTGCCCCTTGCCCCCCAAAATAAATAAATATATTTTTTAAAAGGGTGTAGCTATCCATGGTTAGCTCAAACCACACTGTTCATGTCCTTTTAGTTGCATGACCTTTGCTGACAGGCAATGCACAGATTCTGGCCCATCTGACATTTTCCATCAGAACAAGTAAGGCCCGGGGGCAGCTCACTGATCTTAGATTCAGAACACATGGGAAGCACAGAGACCTTATGGTCAGAACACCTGGAAACATTCTGTTCTTAGACTTGAGAGCTGGGTCGACCTCTGGTATTTGTTTTCTTGCCAAGGCACTTTAGAAGCTGGTGGTTATCATTTCGTCATCTTAAAAATGGAAGTAGAGAATTCCTCCCTGCCTCATCATTGTAAAGCTCAAATAGGACATTGTGCTGAAAGTTCAGTGGAAATTATATAGTATGGATGGGAAGGTGAGTTTCTCCAATTCATTATAGGAATTATCATACATACATTCTGAGTGGAATTTGGCAACATAGGGTAAATGTAAAAGCTAGCACTTAAACTTCAACGTGTCTCCCCGAGGGAAACTCTTGCATTATTGCATTCAGAAATTTGTATAAGAATGTCCATAGCTCTAAGAGTTGCAACAGCCAAATATTGGAAGCAATCTGATTTTGTACATTAATGGCAGAATGTGTATGTGATTTGTGGTATACTCATGAAATTGAATATTGTATGGTGGTAAAAGGAATGCATTAGGTCTGAACGTATTACAGCATAGGCAAATGTTAAAAATGGAACTTTGGGGGCGCCTGGGTGGCTCAGTCGTTAAGCGTCTGCCTTCGGCTCAGGTCATGGTCCCAGGATCCTGGGATCGAGCCCCGCATTGGGCTCCCTGCTCCGCGGGAAGCCTGCTTCTCCCTCTCCCGCTCCCCCTGCTTGTGTTCCTGCTCTAGCTATCTCTCTCTCTGTCAAATAAATAAATAAAATCTTTAAAAAAAAAAATGGAACTTTGAGTGCAAAGAGCAAATGAAAGGATATTGTATTGTGTGGTATTAACATAAACTTTTGAAACATGCAAAATAATATTGTACACTGTACATGAAAAAGTATAAAAAAATGAAAAAGTATAAAAATAGCCATGGGAATAATAAACCCAAATTCTCATAAGTGGTTTCCTCCAAGATAAGAATAGGGAATAGTATCAGTGTGTGGGCTACACATGGAACTTCACTATCTCCTGAGCAATTCATTTCTTTTGGGAAAAAAAAAGAACTCAAAGCAGATATGGCAAAATATTACAACTTGGCAAGTCTGGACAGTGAAATGATTTTGTTCATTACATACTCTCCATGCATTATACAGTCTATGCTTTTCTATATACTTAAAATATTTCATAACAGAGTGTTCAGTAAAGAAAAGAGCATTTATATCAAGGAAATAATATTTTCACATAGCATTATTATAATAAAAAAGAAGTAATCAAAATGGTCAATAATAAGCCAGTGGTTAAATGAGTTCTAGTATGTCCATATAATTGATTATCTACCCAAACAAAGTATTTTTAAGGAGAAACATATTAAATAATGGTAAGTGAAAAAAGTAGGATTCAAAATGAAGTATGGTGTTACCTTAACTGTCTATGTTTACGTGTGCATAAGCATGCATGTGTATGTTTGGATAGGTATGTTTGTGTAGGAAATAAGCCAAAATGTTTAACAGTTTGTCCTTATATTGCAATACTATGGATGGTATTAATTTCTTTTTTCTTCTTTTCCATATTTCAGAAATTTAATATGAGGAGCATATAAAACCTTTAAATACCATACATATTTAAAATATTTAAGTGTGTGCCAGTCAGACATGTAAACAAATGATTCTGTACAAAGACAAGAAAGTATGCCATTCCTCCAACAGTACCGTGGTAGCTAAGCCAGATGGTTACTAATGCCACTTAATCTGGCCTTTTGCTGCCCGTCAGGAATGTAGTCAAACAGATACGGGTTCTGTTCTAAGAGCTCCATGACAGTTGTTGGTTGGCTGATATCTCCAAATGTACCACAGACCTCTATCCAGGCTCTAGGCTTATCTATCCCGTGGCATTCCAGTCATCACTGCTTGGATGGCCCCACAAACCTTGAATGTCAGTCTCAGACTGAAGTCATCTTCCCTCCCCTAATTCCTCCTTCACCTCATTTCTTGCCTCAGACCTCTCCCATATCCCCCAAATCCAGGGGATCTTTATGTTCTGTCAATTCTCTCTCCAAGGTCTTTTCTAGGTCCCTCCCGCCACCCCCCTCCCCCATGGGCCTTCTCTGGGTGAGGGACCTCACCACCTCCCGCCTTGGTCACCACGGCAGCCTGAAGTTTTCCCTGCCTAAATTTGTGTCTCCTTTAACTTGGGTTCCCAATAACCGCACTGCAGTGCACTCTTTATAAAATGTAAAATGTGATACAAGAAAGCCAAGGTTCCCATCCTGTAAAATATTGTACTAGGTAAAGATAAGCTTTGCTTAGAGTGAAAGAGCAAGTGTCTGACCCGGATGCAGCGCACAGCACTGAGTCCGAAGCCCCCTGCCCGCTGATCTGATCCACACTCTGGCTGACTGAGTGACTCATAATCGCTTCACTGAGAACATCAGCACTCACAGTCCGAAGCATATGACTGAGCGGGGAAACATGAACGTTAGCTTCCTCAGTAATGTTTGCATTTTCTATTCCTTCAGATCATGTTGGAGAGTAGGAAGTAGGAAAGCATTTCTATGGCCTCTCCTATTTTCTGGCTTTACGAAGTTGCATCTCTCTCAGGGAGGAAATAAACCCACTGAATGTGTGGGTTAAAATCTATTACAAGCCAGAGTAAGAGGAAACTCTTTTAATTTAAAGGCAAAACACACAGCATGTTTTATAATCCCCCAAAGTACGACAGTGTTTGGCCTGAGCTTCAGAGTTGAGCTTTCCACGCAAACAAATCGTGAATGTATATGAATAGATATGTGTGTATGACTATGCTCTTGTTTTCATTTTCTGCTCCACTATTTTTTTCCTTCTGAACTCATTTGTGAATCTTCTGGAAGGCATTAAAATAACACAGTGACACAATTCACTGAGATGACAGAGTGGAGAATGTATGAAAAAAATTATAATAGTTTAAGATTTTAAAGAATATTGAGGTAAGATAAAATGAGTCTATTCATAACTAATGAGGATAGTTAGCAATGAACTTTGGATTATGGATCCAGTTCTGTGTACCTACAGTTCACAGTTTTTAAAAAGATAAGACCTTTAATATAGTATTAGTAGTAATAGAGGCAGTAGTAGTAGTAATAAAAAAATGAGGAATAACAATTAACATTTATCTGTACAAGACACTGTGCTAAATGCTTCATGTTTAAAAAAATTCTTCTTCCAATTCCACTTTACAGTTGGTAAAATTGAGACTCAGAAAGCAGAACTTGCTTAGTCACACACTAAGCAGTGTAGAGCTAGTATATGAATCCCATCTGTGGGACATCTGAGCAATTATCATGAAACCAACTGAAAAGATAAAATCCAGTTTTATTCATTGAGAATAGAATATTGAGAGATCATGATTCTCTGAAGCTAAGCGATATGTCCATGATCTCCGAGAAAGACAATCATGGGAGCTCAGGAAATAGAATGGAAATGTCTCATTTATTTAGACCTGCAATAAAGCATCCTCAGTGGCATTTGAGAAAGTCTTATTTGGGGCCCCCATGGATTTCAGAGCAGTTGGCATCTGTCATGCATTCCATCCCACTGAACATGCATGGGATTCCCAGCATGGCTAATTCAGCAGACTGTGTAACAAAGGGCACAGTGTCCAGGACCAATAAATAAACCTAAAATGTATATCCCTGATCCCTAAACTTGGTTTTCCTCTTTGATTCAGATATAAATCCACTTCTGGTCCTTTTCTGGTCTAAAAAACCACAACCTGTATGGCCTCCTCTCTCACCTGGGCCTGGCTTAATTTGG